AATTTGTTCACCGATAGCACCTTTTATCTCTAAATCGCATCTATTTCTCAGCCAACGAGGAAGCTTTATTTTAATAAATAGTTAGGGATAGTTATCAGATTCGGATGACCCAGACCAAAACAAAACAGTAACCAATCGCTGCTCAGATTCACGTTCATGTGACATCTTACTGAGGCAACAATAATACATTCATCTTGGCGTCCGAAGGCCGAACCACACTGAGTGTACTAAACCGAGCGTTTTCCGTCTGAAAATTGTGATTGTAGCCAAAATTGTACAAATGGAAAGGTACAATTTCAGACCCATATTAGAATTGAAAAATATAATAGCTTCTTCTTCTTTTTTCTATCGTGTATTGAAATGAGAGGGTTGCTTTGAATGAAAGCTCCTCGAGACAAGTAAGAAGTTGGAAAATCTATACTGCTATGGCCGCATCCACTCCCTCCTCTTCCATTTCTGATTTTGTCAGTGAAAGGCTTCTCTCCTCCTCTCCGCGATGTTCCTTGCCGCGATGGAATGCCAAGCCTTAAGATGGATTATGAAAGCGCTAATTGAAACCTAATCTGGACCAGGAATACGCAAGTCAAGAGGAAATATACAAACAGAATGGTGAACCAGCTATTGAGTCTATTACAGCAGAGTGAAGAAACATATGTCTCCAACAAGAAACAATAATACTCAAATTCAAGGAGTTCATCAAGGAACACCAACAGAGAATGAAAACTTCCTAAAGGTACAAATTGTCTTAGCCCTAATGCAAGAAAATTTGCAGAGTAAAGACTTCGAAGTCCAAGCTGGTGCAGAAGCAGATCTACTAATTTGTCCCAAGACAAGCGAAGGAGGGATCAGAAACACTCAGCACACAGATCCTGTTGAAATACTCATGGACCCTGCTGATCAGGTGAAGAGTTTGGAGAGGAGTGATAAACAAGATGGACGTTTCCAGGAAAAGTTTTTTCAGCGAAAGTACTTGGTACTTATAGAATGGAAGTAAAGATAAATGGACAGAAACTTGTCAGGAGTCCGTTCTCATTTCTAGTAAAAGTACGAGAGTTAAATATTACAGGCAAGTTGGACTTTCCGGGAGAAATGTCCCCGAGTTCAGCTGGCATTGCAGTGAACAGTAAAGGTGTTATTGCCGTGGCTGATTTGGATGGTCTCTATATCCTGGTTTTTGATGACACAGGAATGTTTGTGCGACTTGGTTGTCCTGGACACATAGATGTAAGTTTGAAGAACTAGCTATAGTGACGTCACATTCCTCAACGATGACGAGATTCTGGTGGTAGATGAATGTAATCACCGAATAACAGCAGTGGAACGTACAGACAGGGAACTTTGTGAAAAGCTTTGGAAAGCAGGGAAGTGGAGATGGAGAGTTTAAGATACCTACAAGTGTTTTTATCTCAAGTGATGGACGTTTTATCGTTGTAGCGGAGTATGAGAACAGCAGAATTCAGGTGTTTACGGTGGATGGTGAACCTGTGTTTAAGACAGCGGCCCAGAAGGTTGGATCATCCGCTCGTTTGCATTTGTTACGCGGACAAATTAATTGTAACTGACCTCGAAAATAACTGTGTGAAAGTGATTGACGAGAGAGGAGGACAGTTTTTGTAGAAGTTTGGAGAAAAAGGAAACGTTAATGGACAGATGCATCAGCCGTATGGCTTATGTGTTGAAAAACATGACAACGTTTTCTTATGTGAGGGTGATCACATTCAACAGTTTACATTGGAAGGAACTTTTACTGGAAAGAAAAGTACTAATATTCAATTTGGATGGCTCTGGAGTATTACAACAATGCTTAATGATCGGATTTTGGTCATAGACTTCAAAGGGAAAGAAGTTTACATTCTGAAATGAATGCCCATTTTTGAAAGTGACATTCAGTTCTTTGTAAACAAACCTTTTGCAAATATCTTTAAGTTTTATTATTTTATTAATTTACGGAAACTTGTGACATGGCATGTGTCGCAAGAGAATGCGAAAGAAAATGGCTAGAATCAGCAATTTGCATTCTAATTTTTTCGGGAGAGTTCAAAGAGTTATTGATTCATCACTTAGGTAATGTGATTGTTTATGTTGTAAATTAATTATAGTAATAGGACCGAGTAGAGTCCAACACGGTCTGTAATCATACGAGTGATTGACAAAGTTGGACGACAGCGCAAAGAGAGAGTCCGATTTGTCTATAACGGGTTTGAGAAAGCAATTAGACATCGGTTAAACGTTTTCATCAAAATACGAACCGTCAAATCGTCGAAATGCACAACAACAGCGAGTGCTCATGACACGCACTGTCCACTTACACAGACACGACGTGTTAACTGTTCTATTCAACTGTCCAATTAAAAGCATGATGCATACACTGTCCTATTGGTGCTCAAATCTATCACGTTCAATAATTTTGTTGTAGTTCTGATTAACCACAAAATCGATTTCAGATGAGATCAAGCATTTTAACCGTGTAAAGACCTACATGTACAGGGGTGTTGTGAGGGCAAAAAAAGACATTTGTGCAAAAAAACTGTACAATGGCACTGATTAGTGTAAATTGTTATGCGTGGATACGTATTCAGTAAGGATAGATCTAGACTAAACGGAACATAATTTGCCTGCTAGTGGATACAATTTTATAGTATCTCTCACTCGTGAGAGATATTGTCGACACTCAAGGATAGATTCGTATTAACCCGCGGCCAAGTAATACCTTCTCAGTGTTGTCAAAAAGATAACTAACCAGACTGGTCTGAAAGTGGTTCTTTGCATTACGCCTTTGTTTTTTCGGTTTTAGTGAATCGCATACAGCCAGAAATCTAGACGAATCTCAAGAGTACCAGCAGTTGTCCGTTCAGTTATCTATCGATCTTTTCGGTGGAGTTGTTATCTTGAGCATTGTAACCGACGGCAAGGAAAATAGTCTCGGAATTTCGAAAGAGTTTGGGACAGGATTGATCGTCATGGCTTCCTTGAGTTTTCTGTTGACCCTGTTACAAAATGGTGGAAACAACCTCGGCAACATTGATAGATGCGTTTCGCGTAGTGAAAAAGCGGTTATTGCGCCTTATACACAATCAAAACAGAGTATTGTATAAATTGTGCTGACGAGGCAAAAAGGTTTCATTCATCGCTTTACGGCCTGTTTGTGACACCACAACATTTGTGTTTGTGAGAAGATTTCTCTTTGCGAAATATAATTTATTTTGCCGCTCTAAACAGTGTACTTTATGTTTTTGGAAGTGTAAAGAGTTGGTATTTTTAAACTCTACAGCCTTGTTCTAACAGGTGATGAACACAATTATGCAGAAAAGCTTTCATGGTCTGTTGACCTTAACAGTTTATAATCCTAACTGTCAGACCAAATTGACCATATTATGCAAGCTGAACGTCATTCATCAAGCAAAGAAACTCCCCATAATTTCCAACATTTGAGAGGAGATAACACTTCCTGCTCCATTTGAAAAGCAAGCGTCACTTAAATTCTTTACAACGATATTATCCAGGTCATAGGCACTCTACTTTGATTACTCAAAATCTCGCTTAGTAATCGTCAGAACTAGAACACTCGCAGATTGATCATATCTCAAAGAGATCAAGGCAAATGACAATAGCATTTTTGGCAATAAAAATGGATACATCTTTCTCGTAGCCCCGCCGTAGATACATACGAAGCCCTAAAAACACGCAATTAACACAGATTATTTGTAAGGTTGTGCGCAAACCAGCTGTACATCTGCGAATTTTCCACCGTTCGGAACCTCTTATTTTTATTTCGACTAGTTGTAATGGAGACAGCAGAAAGCTGATACAGACGAATGCAAGCACTGCTTTTTCAAAGCCTTTAGGAACGCCATGGCTGAATTAATTCTCTTCAATAATGACATCCAGCATTTCCACTCCATCGGAAAGATTCAACGCCATTCGGATGGAAAACTGACCGATCAGGTCTCGGTAGACGATGGAATTCGTTCCCGTACTTAAAAGCAACAACAGAATCAATGGGGCAAGGCAAAGTGTCGTCTTTAGAATGTTTGGACCAAAGAATTTTACTTTGTCGAGGTTATCTTCAATCGGTTCGTCACCTCTAAATATGATCACGACGAAGATTACGAACCCAACGATATAGCACGTCCAGACAGCAAATATAATAACCACTGTAATTTCTTGTCGTCGCACATGATGTAAAGCCATAAACCAACTGTAGGTATGAACAGGACAACCAATTCATAGAAACTATCTTTGTGTTTGTATTGTGCAGGATACGAAGCCAGCGAGGAGGCCTGGAGGCCTACTAAGACGAAGGAAAGGAGTCTGCCAACGGAGACTAAGCATGAGGCCATCTCTACGATAAGTGTTTCTTCAAGAAGGTCCAATAACAAAGTTGATGCTATAATAATTGCATGGAAATGTACTTTGCGTCTAATTGAAGAACGTTTCCTAGGAAGAGCAATACAATGAAATAATCTTTTCCGAGAAAAGCGGATGTGAACAAATACGAAGAAAAAGCCAGAAGCGCTGATAGAAGAAGCTACATAGGAATGTCAAGTTTCTAGCAATGACCAAATTACGTATGCAATCAGTCTGTGCAAGTGAGCTTCTGGAAAAAGATCACATGAAGCTATTGCAGTATTGGTTAGTGCAAAAATAGAAGTTACCTATTACGGGAAGATTTCCATCTCACGTGGTTTTGACATGTGACTTCCAAATTTAAAACGATGACACTGCAGATTTTCAACTATATAGCCTTCGACGAGAACAGCACCGTTTTAAAGAGAAAAGCAAAGCATGGATTGTGGATTGGTTTTGGTCGGTCGTTTTCTTGCCGTTCTTCTTCTGTGCGTCCAATGTGGGTTCCTGACAGCTTTTCCTGTCTGTTACAGGGATGATAAACGTCTAGTATCCTTGCTACTTTTGTCTTTTCCTGCCCTGATTTACTATGGGATTTGTCTGGCTACTGGTGGAGAACTCCGTAAAGTTTTCCGCACTTGGGGTCTCTACATTATTTTCGGTTTGATCCCTTACATCGCAATCATTTTTGCGTTGTGCGGAGACGTACTCAACAAGGACAGTTTTCTCAGCCCGACCTGTTTGAAAGTGATCCTGTGCATCACGCCTGCTGCCTTTCTCATTCTGGTGAATACAGCGAGCGATTTGGGCAAATACGAAGACTACAAAGCCCTGGCCTTGAAGCTGTCAGTCGTAATAACAATAGATCTTGTCGATAGCGTCGAGATGTTGGATATTGTGCTCGATGAAAGGGAGAACAGTGACGGAATCCCAAAAGAGTTTGGATATGCAATGATAGCAGCGGTGTGCTTGAGCTTTCTGTTGACTTTGCTGCAAATTGCACACATAGGAACCGTCTCTCTTCGCAAAGAAGTGGCGATTCTCGCATATGTTTTGCAGATATTTTTCGTGAATTTGCCTTTCATGGCAATGCGCGTGGTTGTAGTTAAAAACAACAAAAAAGACGATAATGAGTCCATCTTCATCACAAAGAATCTGATCTCCATCTTTCTCTCCGCGATGCAGATCTATTGGATCTGGAAGAGCTAATTTGAGACTTCTTTTTGTAAAGTATTATTTATTTTGCCGCTCTATTTGTACTTTTAGAAGTTCTTAAAACGAATAAAAACAGTTATGCAGTAAAGGCTTTAGTGTTGTTGTTAGACTCTCATCGGATCTGTCGATCAAAAAAGTTTCTATTCGATATGCAAGCTGAACGTCGTTCACTAAGCAAAGATACCCCCCAAAACTTCCGATATTTGACAGAAGTCGTTGAAAATTATTTTTATAATGTCGCACGTTTTGTTATCTTTCACCTAGATTCTTGTAGGTGATTTCTTTTCAGGGAATCCCTTGAAACTGACTATCAGCAAACAAATTCCTCAGAAAACTAAGCTTAGTGCGGCTTTAACAAATTTGTGCGAAATGTTATAGTGAGGGAAAATATTAGAAAATGAAGTTCAAAAGAATAAAAGAAAAAACTACAAATGAAATTTATATAAATATTCTAAAAAGAACGA